TCTTACTCAAGTAAGATTTGTTGGCTCTATCAGAACAGCACAGCTGCACTCATAAGACTTGTACATCACTGCATCTGAAGTTATTTTCCTCTGTTATTTCAGTCATTAAGACAACTCATTGAACAGCATACTAAATTATTCTGCTGAAGAATTCCCAGATATTTAGTGTATGTATTACTGTATGACCTCCTGTTGAATTCCTTTACTGAAAACAAATCATGTCCCAATGAAAAATGTCTGACTCTTCTTTAAAGTAATAATACTGCAGTGAAGGGGGAGGGATAATTAAAAAAAATTGCAATAATTATTTTTTAATTATGTATTTTGGAGGCATGTCTTGGGTTTGGGGGTTTTTTTGGTTGTTTTTTCTGTTTGTTTTGTTTGTGTTTTTTTTTTTTATCTAAATATTTCTTAATTTGTGCTTGCCTCTAAATGCATGCAAAATAGCATGGGGGTCATACTTCGTTGTGGCTTTTCTTGTATGAGTTCCCTTGGATTAATGTTCCCGCTCTTTGTCTGGAGAATGACCAATGCAGCCTGTGGAGGAGACGTTTGGTAACCGGAGCAGAGAGACTATGTTAGCTCTACCTTTGCAGTCTAAAAATATCTCTGTTTTAGGATGGTTGGACAAAACTTGACTCTTGGGATTTATAACCTAGGCAGGTTAAGTGAGAGCTGTGCACATTAAATTCAGACTTTGAGGTAGGCCATCGCATCTTTCCTAAAATGATGTTACCCTACGGTCAGATTTTGTTTGTTTTTAATACTCTGTAAATTTACTACAGGGGCTTTGATGCATGTTTTTCAGCTTGAAAGCAAAACTGTCTTCCTTCATCCACCACTTTACAATTTTAATGCTTTTAGCAGGCAGCTCCAAGACACAGAAATGGGCTCAGAAAGTAGCACAGCTAACAAGAATATCTGGAGCTGTTACAGGAAAGATTTAAAAGAACACCCAAGAGGCCATAAGAGGACAGAAAACCTTTTGGCCAGGCATATGTCAGTCTTTGACTGAGGACACGGACAAAGCTCGAAACCCTTCTTCAAGGGCTTGGTGGTGTTTATGTACCTTTAATGGGGGGAGAGTTTGGTACCAAATCAGTGTCAGAGACAGAGAAGTTGCTGGTCCTGGTGTGGGATTGCCTCTCTCTCTAACTGGCTGAGCCTCTTGCGCTGGCTTTGAGCTTGCATAAAGCCTTTGATAACACAGCTACTTCTGTGTTACAGCAGCGTGGGTGAGGGAAGAGTCCTCTTGCATGTCCAACAGAACGTTCTGCTGCCTGCACTTATTCTGTTTTTTGTTTGCTTGCGTGTCTTTAAATTTTTTACTGTGCTTTTGATCTGAGCCCAAGAATTGAAACCATCACTGGGAATGCGCTGCTAGAGAGAATTATGAAACAAAATGCAACCGCAACACTTTAAATGTTGATATAAGTGATGTCTAGACCTCATGCTGGCTTTCTGCACCAAGACGAATTTCACATAGTGAATACCCCTCCTCCCCTTTCCAGATTTTATATTAAGAGTCAGTTCCCTATACTCTCACTCAACTCTGGTCCTTCTGTATAAAGAGTAATAATAGGGCTTCTGATTTCTCATTTTCATTTGCAGTTTGAAAAGGGCTTGTATTTAATGGAAGTGGAGAGAACGCTAAAAAGGAAGCACCAATGTATAGGGCTTTTGACTTACTAGGTTAATAATTAAAGAAAACCATAGAATAGTAGCAGTGGAAAAGACTAAAGTCAAAGCATCCATGCATATTCCATCACATTGCTGTTGACTCTGAAGAAAGATGTCCTCACCTTTGTAAACCCTGGCTTATGCCAGCAAGTATTTCTAAAACTTCTGCTTTTATTAAAGTCACATAGTAGATGTTTTTATTTTGCTTTTATCTTAAAAATTTTCTCTCTTCACTCACAGCTGTGGTGATTTGTTTATTCTGGTGTTAATAACTAGAGCTGCAGTTAGTGTGTCTAACAGCGCAATAGTCCACACACACCAGACACATGTAGGCACATCCAGCACAGAATATTCATTTGTGTTGGAGGATGGAGAAGAGTTATCAGCCAGAAAGGGCTTGAAATGCTTTCCAGGTTCAGAATTCAAGTGTTTTCTGCAGTGGCAGAATAATATCCAAGAGAAATATTTTTCTGTGGAAATTCCCATTTCAGGGGGAAAAAAAAAAAGAAAATGACAAAGTACTGTTTCTGCTGTTTATTCTGGCAACCAAAGCTTCTCAAGCATTATAGAGTATAATACTTAGTAGTAATTCCAAATGAATCATTTGAGACTACAGTCTTTTAGATTATTCTTTCCCTTCTTTTATACTAGCCATCACAGCCAAGACAGGGCACCTCTTCTGCCTGGAGCTGCTCATTAATATAGGAAAAAATACTGAGCCAGAAGAGTTAACTATCTAAATAGACAGCACACAGTGAAAGAAGTTACTACCCACACTCTTCTGATGAGAATGAAGGAATATTAAGAGTAAATGATTTATTCAAGACAGTATCGACAGCTATGCACAAAATCCCCAGTCCACCACAGTTCTGATCCAGCACTTAAAACATTTTTTTTATCTATTTACTCTCAATATAAAAGGATTTGATGGTTCTTATCTACTTTTTTTCTCTTCATTTATTGTTTGAAGACACCTAAACTGTCACAGAGAAGTTCTTCATGTCTAATGTGCAAGCTGTGATCACTATGATGGGCTTGGAGATGTAGGGAAAGGGCCCATTACCAAAAAAAGAGAACGTCTGCACCCAAATCTTGCACCAACATTGAAGCATTTTGCCGTGCACAGCAAGAGACTTTATGCATTCCCTTGCCCTGAAAGGGTTGACCATGTCCTGATGGACAAAGAAAGCAAGATGATGTATACGGGCTCACAACTTTGAAGTATTAAAATGGCTCCAAAGCTTCTTTTCAGATCCTGGAAGCTCCCTGCTGACAAAATATTTCCACACATAGGAAAGTGAAAGAAGGACTTTCACCTGTTTGAACTTTTTGTTTGAACTTTGGTCCCTCTCCTAAGATCAGCAGAAGTTGCAGAGAGGTTTGCCTTTCCATTGGGTCTGACATGAGGGCCACTTTGCCACAAACAGAGGGCAGAATGAAATGGATCCGTCTGACATTCTCACTGGTCAAAATCCCCAGGGGAACAGAGACCAGCAACCTTGTTGCTTACATCTTAGTTGTGTAGACTTATGTGGCACAAAAAGATGTGAGTGTTGCATTAACTCTCTATACATGCTTAGATTTCACTCGGCAGCTTGAGAAGGTCAATTAAGTATTAAAAAGCACCCAGGATAACAGGGTAAGATCACTATGTGCCATGTAACATTTTTTTACTTATCAGGAGCTGTGCACAAGGGCATATCTAAATAAAATGCATAGGAAATAGCATCACACAAATATGATCTACATTTTTTCATGATCAAAGAGGCTGAGAGAAAAAATAATTAAAAAGTAAAAGCCTTATGCAATGAGATTTAAAAGAAAACTTTGGAGGCTGACAAGACACATCTGGCACAACTTCAAAGTCCATCAAAGTACATATAATCAATGTTTGTCAATAGCAGTTTTGCATCCTTTAATTTATCTTTCATGGATATAAAGCATGATGTTATTAGGATCCAGTCCATACCTTAATTCTGTTTGAGATTTGATGAATCAGGGCTCTATTAAAATTCAGTGCAAATCAGCTTACTCAAGGACACATTACATAAAGTCGTGCGTTATCTAACTCCTTTTATCTTGCTGTCTTTCTAACTAGTTAAAGAATCTGAAATCTCATAAACTTAAATGTGTTGGCTGGCCACCAACACAATAAATCTCAAATACATATTGATTGCTTGTAGGCACCTTGTTAAGGTATGCACATGTGACGTAATCAGCAAATCTTAATTCTTTGTGTATTTTTTGATATATGAAATCTCCTTTAGGATTGTTCATGCTTCATAGTAAGGAATCATCAGAAACAAGGTTCTCTGGCATCAGAATTTCAGCACTCATCACAGAGTCTGTAATCAAGTGCTAGCGACTGATCTTTTTCACCAGAAAATCACATTTGGGATGGGAAACGATGAAGTGCTTGGGATTTCACTGTTTTCTTCCTCATATTACAACATGTGGGCACCCCTCCCATCCATTTTATTTACTGTACTATATTCAGGTCCTCCTGAGTAGACAAGCACATTCATTTTTCCCCTGGTGCAGTGTAATGTGCTCAGCATTATCTTATTTAACTGTTTTATCACAACAGAGAAAACATTGATAGGGAATTCCTAGTGAATTGGGGCTGTGATGTAAAAACACTATTTCTTTCGCTTCCTTCCTTTTCAGGCTCTAAGCTGTTGGGGAGAAAGAATTGTCTTTTCATCTGTTTTTGTAAGACATAGCACAAACAGTATCTGTTGAGCAAAAGTTTTTCAGCATTTCCACAATAGTGGATTATTCTTTCAGTAATACAGTAATTTCTTCAGTTGCTGCTGTTGCTACAAATGCTTCAGCCTCAGGAGACTGGGGGTTACTCAAGAATTTCAAATTTTATTTAAAAAAAATGATTACAGGTTCTCATATTAGTGGACAAATGCTGGACAACATGGTCTGTGTATGTTTGAAATTTAGAAAATAATAAAAAAGTACACTTTTATATTTTTTAAAATTGTATATTAGATCTCACTATCTAGATCTATAATAGATCTCACTATTTTTCAGGTGGGAGAGAAGTTAAGTCTGATTAATATTTTTTTTTCCAACTGATAATAATAGTTGAAAGATTATTCTAAAACAAGGAAAATGTATCTTTTCGTTGTTAATTTGTACCGTTCCCATCTGACACTTACTGATTTGAAACATTTGCCAGTAATCAATGAGGTGATTATCTGGACAGGATGCATTTATTTGATCAGGACAATCTGTTGAACATTAAACAATATTTGAAGCACGGTTAATTATTTGCACTGAATTAGCTCACCCTCAAGATTGTGCCTTGTCTGAAAAAACCTAGGCAAGAAGAAGAAGCTGATTTCAAGAAAAAAACGAGCACAAGGATGGTTAACAGTGCTTTGGCCCTTCAGGTTCTCCCATTGGTCATTCTCCTTGGGACCACATGTTTGTGCGTGAGTATGTTTTTACACTGCTTTTCTTTCCATGTGCCAGCTCTGCTCCGTGCTGAGCCCTGCCCGGGCAGTTGCAGGGCAACTTAGTGGAGTATCCACATTTCAGGACACTGAGGTGCCCAAGTAAATGCAGTATAACAGGGAAGCCCTATGGTTTTTTGGAGCAGACGTCTACAGTGTCAAGGAATGGCTCATCTGGGTACAATCAGCTCAGTGGCCACCCCACTCCCAGGGGTGTGCAGTGGGGAGTGCAGTCACTCCCCCAGCCCTGGCACTAAGAAATGCTCCAAAACCCTGGGCTGCAGCATGGGCAGCTCAGCTTAGAATCACAGAATGTTTTGGGTTGGAAGGGACCTTAAAGATCGTCGAGTTCCAACCCCCCCGTACTGTGGGCAGGGACATCTTCCACTAGATTAGGTTGCACAGAGCCCCTTCCAGCCCGGCTTTGAATGTTTCTGTGGGTAGGGCATCCAGCATCTCCCTGGGTAACCTGCACCAGTGTTTCACCACCATCACCATAAAAATTTTCTTCCTTGTATCTAGTCTTCATGGTAAAGGGACTAAATATTAGATTATTGCCTTGGCAGTTTTGCAAACTCTTCCGTCAAAGGTGAAATTTCCCCCAGCCATATGTTTTGAATGATTGAATTATCATTGCCACTAATGTGGGAGAAAGGCTAGTGGCAAAATATTCAACACAGCTAGACATGGCCAGAGCTCTACTCAGGCAAAGCTTGATATACTTCCCCAAATCTATTCATCTCCTCTTAAAAGAAGACTGGAAGAATGACTTGTAACTAAAGGAAAGTTAAAAATTGGTTTTTAAAAAATTCTTTTGTTCTTCCAAGCATGGGGATCAAGCAGATTTTCTCATGAAGGGATCTGAAGTTATTTAAAACAACTACTTTCTTAGTGATATTTCCTATGTGTGTAGGTTCACATTTACTGAAATATGTTGCAAAAATTCAGATGTTGACAGGTTAAGATTGAGTTCTTTGGGGAAAACACATAGTGAGGGGCTTTAATGGGTTGTAGATCTTTTTGAAGAGATCAGTGAATTGGAGAGCAGTGATTTTAGTAACACAACAGAGTAATTATTAATTAGTGTCTACTCTGTCAGCACTTGGTCCAGCAGAACATGAAGCAGCTTACTGAGGGATCAGTTCTAGGGTAGTTCAGTGCCAGTTTTACAGACATTGTCAGAACCCAATCTAATATAAATAAGCTCATAATGAATTGACTGTGTTAATTCATGCTCAGTGAAGATGATGTGTGGACAGTCTTAGACAACATGAAGTCTTGCACAGATTTTTCCTAACTAGTCCTAAGTGTTAGGTTGATTCATTAGCTTTAACAATCCTAATCTAACTTTGCCCTAAATATTGCTGTAGAAAATGTAGTGTATATCTCCCCCCAACCCTGAAAATTCATTAACATTGCTAAAATGCATAAGCAATTCTACTGTCACTGAAAAGCAGCACGACAGAATATTCAGCAGGCTAGTTTTTAATAAAACATGCTTTTTCTTCATAATTAATATAACAAGGTTTTCTGGCTTAGCACTTGGCATGGATCCCAGGAAAAAAAAAAGAGGGGAATGAGTTGCCATGATGTGACCATTGCATGACAAACAAGTTATGAGAGGATATTTTTGCCTTAATGATTTGTCCCAAAGAAAAAGTTGCACTGAAATAGTTTGAATGAAAAAATAATAGATTTTGCACTTTGCTGAAACCATGGAAAGCAGTCTCAATTACTATTTCCATCTTATCGCAAAACTATCTATCTTCATCATTTTTATTTGAATCAGGCTTTAGGAGTTTTTATGCACACTGATTAACAAATATTACTGGTGAAATACAGCAGAAGTCAAACAAAGGTTTAAGCAGTAACTCATGTTGAGTCAGTCAAAGCACTCAGACCTTCAAGGATCTGGTGGGTTTGGAGCAGAACCCTAAGGCAAAAATTTCCATTCAGTTCTTTCATATTACCTGAGGATAAACTGATTTCACCTGTGTGAATCCAAACTATTTCCATAAAGGGCATAAAGCTGCATGGTGAGTGCAAGTGAGAACAAATTTAGTCCTTTATTTTAGCATATATGATGCAAGCACACCAAAGACTCTCTTCAGACATGGCAGGTCTTCTCTGACGGTTGTTTTTTCTCCTGTTTTTCCTTTCACTTCTGCTCAGCAAGACACTGTAGTAGAAATGTTCCTACTTGGGCTAGAGAAATCTGGAACAGGACAAGACCAAGCTGGATCCCCCAACGCTCCAGAGTAAATCAACAGGTGTTCAGATCAGGCTTTTTCCTTGTATCAGAGTTCTCTGCAAACTCAAACACCCCTGGCAGCAAGAAGGAAGACTTGCAAGGGACAGAGTAGAATTGTTTGAAACTTCAAAAAATTGTTGTCGGCTTAGTTTTGATGGAAGGTGTTTTGAAGTCACTAGCCATGACCAGTGCAATAACCAAGAGCACTTAGCAGTGAAAACAGATGAAAGTATCACATTAAGACCAAACGATTGCCAAAAAACTTATCAATAGTGCCCATCTCTTACCTGGCCCATAGCAAGCAGGAAACTGTTACCAGGAGCGCAGGTCCTTCCTTGCCTCAGGTCCTTGGAGACCAACATTTTAGGGTGTTCCAAAGTCAGCATTGTCTGATATCTTTTCCTACCCCCCAGTGGATCTAGTCCTGTAGAAAACTCCCACTTCTGCTCCCCTCACCCTCACTCCAGGACTGCACTTTTCACACAAGGCCTCCACCGTGTTGAGAACCGATCACTGTGAAGAGAAGTGAATGCTGTCAGGCCCGTCTCGGTTTGTGGCCCATCAGGTGTGATACCCTTCTGCAGCGCTCGCCTAAATTTGCCTGATGCAGCAGGAAAGCAACAAAGCCCTGGGAGCGCCCCCAGCTAATTTTGCACCGTGCTCTCAGAGAGGGAAGCGTTCAGCGCTGACCCCCGAAGGCAATCAGCTTATGCCCTGCAGCATGCAGGTTGATATCCCGTGTAACTAAAGGGACTTAATGATTTTGCATAAGCTTTAAGTCTAGCAGTATAACCTGCATTTCCAGCACTGGCTGCAGAAGCGTTTGATAGCGCAGCACACTCGTGTTAGTGCGACAGGCTGGCTCCTGCAGCCCCCTGACACAGATTTTGTAGCTTCCCCTTTCTGTGGCATCCAAGGCTGACTCCATTTCTCACGTGGGAGCACGAGCACATCTCACCCACCAGTGAGCAGGTTTAAAAACAACCCGCTGCTACCAGACCACCTCTCACAGTGCAAAGATTCATTTGAAAACTTTGATCTCTTGGAAAACAGGAGCAGGTAACTCCTGAGTGGAGAACCAAGCTGGTTTCAGCAGCACCTCTGAGGGATCTTGCTTTTTTTCCTGTATCCCTGTGGTTTTTTGTATCAGGTGCTACCATGGGAAAGGTTCACAATTAAATAATCAGCAAAATAAAGGCTTTAAATGTGAACCTCTCTGGGTACCCTGGGACCAGTTGATAAGGACACATCATTTACTCTGAGGCACACATTGCAGCTCAGTGTGGAGGTAGGAGATGTCTTGTTAGCAGAGAGGTGAAGAAGTCAGAGGTTTTGGTGGAATCCTTTCAGAGAACGGTTTCCCAGGCTAAAACTACAACATATGTTGCATGTGTGCTCCAGATGATAGTATACCCTGCTTTCATTATACTGCAACCATGGCCTTGGCTGAGAAACACAATGTCATTGCTGGAAAGCCACTTTCCCTTGAAGTTCAAAGACAGTCACTACCCAAGATGGTTGCAGGCAAAAATCTGGCCGATTGTAAGAGCATCAGAACTGTCGATTCCCTCCTCCTTTGGCAAGCAGCCCAGAGAAAGGTTCTTACTGAGAGCTGTCAGTGGGATCAAGGGGTTCACTACGAGGAGGCAGTAGTTGTGTTTGCCCTCGTGGCTCCTTCATGCCTGATGTCAGTTCTGGATGGAAGTTGAACAAATATACATCTTCATTCTCCAGTTCAACCCCATCCCACCTCCTTCTTGGCTACAAAGCTGTGACTGCGCAAGTGAGCAAATGAAAGTGTAATCTTTGTTCTTCTGCCATGGAGGCCACTTCATGACAAGTTGCAGGAGAATTTGCAGGACTTAATGCAATTAAGTGAATAGGCCAATTCCTACTAATGTAGTTTAATGTTTGAACTCCTGTAGTGCTTTGTTGCAAAGTGTGTGCATGTGTAGAGGTAGTTATCACCTCTCTTCCTAGTCTGTCATGCCAGCTTGGGTAGCTACACTGTTTTCTCTGGAATTCTGTTTTGCACACATGTAAATTCACAGCCTAACCCTGGGCTGTCACCTTTTTGCTCTCTTTCTCCACCTGCTTTTTTTTTTTTTTAGTTTTTCGTTTTTATTGTAATAAGGGGTAGCAATGTACCCAAGACACAGCAAACAGTTTAACTGCAGAATGCCCTTGGTAGCTGTAAATAATTTCCCTTGAATTTAGGGTCAAATCTTCCTGTGTGTTTTCACAAAGAATTGCCAGAGATTAACTGGGCATTTTTGTCTGAGAAAGAAACATAGAATTCTGTCCTGAGATGAAGAAAGCTCATGGTTCTGGCATTTCTGTTTGAAATCTATTACATTTCATTAGTCTCTCTTTCTTGAGGAGTTGAAATGGAAAAATTGAGAACATCATATATCTGCAATATTTAATCTTAGTACAAAGTCTATTTAGCAAAATTTTGATGGTTCCTTGGAGAAATTAAGTTTTAGTGAAGTGCTAATCATTACAATGAGGACAGACAACAAAGATCAGGTGATATTTGGTTATTTTGAATTTCAGCCATTTTTTCACTATTTTTTCTAGAAGCCCCATAAATGTAATTGGTTTCACAGTCAGCAATGTGCTGATACCCATATAAAATGTTTCTCTTAGCCTTTTTTTTTCTCAGGGTTTCTTTTTTATGAGCCTAAAGTAATAAAATTTAAAATTGCTCTCTGCAAATACTTCCAGCTTTGTCCCTCATCTCTGCAGACCTGCTACGAACAGGATCCAGTGAATTTATTCCCTCTCGAGACAGCACACAAAGTATCAGTGTCGAGCTGCAGCAAGGAGACTGTTTGGTGAAACCAGCTCCACAGTCTAATTTCTTGCCCCCCCTTCACTCCTTTTGTTTGAATCTTGCTCCGTGTTGGGCTTAGTGTTGCACCTCGTCAGAAGGACAAGATCCTCCTCTGCTGGCCATGAGCAATACGGCACTGCAGGCAGCAGGCCCTGCCTTCATGCCCCTGCCTGCACCCCCTCCTGCAGCCCCCTCCTGCCCCCGCGCCGTGCACCTCTCTTAACAATCTGCTTCCGCATCCCATATCCAACACCTTGCATCGCAAATCCTACATCCCGCACCCCTTCATGGTGCAGAGGAAGGGGGTAGCTCCAGCAGACAGGAGGGAAGGAGATGGGCTCTGCACACCACCATGGCATGCTTTGTGCCAGGAGTCAAAAGGATAAAATTTGGCCCTGTGTTGGCTAGTGGGGGCAAAAATGCTTGAAAACCAGCGTGGTCCAGTAAGTGGTCCACTGGACCTCAGGAAGGAGGAGAAAACTCTCCATGCTGAGAAGTCAGCTCTGCCCAAGGTTTTGTCCTCTGCTGCAGCTTGTGACAGGCACACAAGGAGGGAAAGCTTCAGCATTGTATTTAACTCTTTGACACTCCATACTGGGTGCTCCAGGAGCTTTTGTTCCCAGTAACATTTGTGCTGTGTCAGCAGATAGAGACTTTCATCCAAAAGCAGGAACCAAAATCTGGGACTGAGCTACCCTAGAGTCCAAGCCACTCTCTGCTCTGATGGATGTTATCAGAAACCTGCACATTGTCTCAGGTACTGCAAGAGTTTAGGGTATCTGCCCTTTTGCAGTCAGCTGTGCTCATGCTTGGACAGGAGGGGCAGGTGTGTCACCTGGAAAAGAAAGTAGTGTAGCAAAGGGCTATATCTTTCATCTTTCTTATTTCCTTGGGGTGTGAGCATTGTGAGACTCTTATCTCTACTCTTCAGCTGGGGAAACTGAGGCACAGAAAAGCGTGATGTAGTCACGTCCTGCATCTCTCTCAGCCTGGGCTGAAATCCTCTGACATTCCCCTGGGGTGCCAAGGGCTGCCCCGACTGCAGGGACAAGCTCACTAAAGTCAAGCCCTTCAGATCCAAACCCTTTCCAACCCCATCAGGCAAACAGCACAACAGGGCAGCGCAGAGAGCTGGGGGAGGGAGATGAAATGTTTCTTCCTTTATCCTGCTTCCTTGTTCTTTGTTTCATCTATTCCTCCAAAAGAAAGGAGTACACTTGCAGGGTTTTTTTGGTCTGTTTATGGATGAACGCTACCGCTAATTGTAAATGGAGCAATTAGACCTTTGCTTTATATAGTCTCCGTCGGGGTCTGGCAAAGGATCTGACGAACGCTGTACCTGCACTCAAGAAACATATACACCAAGGACAGAGCTTTTACAGCCTTCTCATTTACCATCATCTCTGCACTCATTCGGGGGGGCAATTGTGTGAGGATGTGTCCTTCCAGCTGCAAAGGATTTAGTTCTGTATGTGTGTGGCTCACTTAAATGCACCTGGGAAGGGGCTCAGCTGAGTGGTTCAGGGGACATTGCTCTCATTAAAGTCAGTGGGAAGGGGGGAGCTGGAGTGTCTGTTCTTCCTGCCTCAAACACAAGAGGGATACAAACGTGCCTGAAGCAAAAACTCATTTATATATTCCAGATAATATTCACAAATGTGAATTCTGAGCTTTTTTTTATTCTGTTCCTTATTCATTGCTTCTGATTCATTTGTTCTTAGTCACAACCAGTGTTATCTGAGAATATCTTTCTTCTATATATAATGTACAACTAAACAGGGCATATATTTACAGTTAATTGTATTTGTAGCAATGCATAGGTGCACGTAACAATCATGTATGTATGCTGTCTTTATTATGACTGCTAAATTGTTTGGAAATACATTTTCTTCAAAAAAATCATGTGAAGGATGAAGAATAGCAGCTCCAAATCTCCTTCTTTACACCACTGTTAGTATGTGCATCCTCTTTGCAGGCAGGTAATCCTGTCTGCAGCTGGGATTTAAAACAAGAAGGAAAGCAAATGGAAATCATCATGCTGGGGATACGTCCTGGTGCAGAGTCAGTGTATCTCCTTTCAGACAAACCTCAGTTGCACTCTTCAAAGGCTGAGAGCTGTTTTCCGTCATCTTCTGTTCCCTTTTGTTGCTTGCCCTTGACCATGAGCCAAAACAGAAAGGCTGGAGCCCCATGTCCAAGGTTTGACACGTGGCATTTCCTAATGGAAAGCACCAGAAATATTCTCCTGCATCCAAAAATCCAAAAATCTGTAGGCATCAGCCTGTAGACAGCCTTCCAGCTCGGGGGTCCAGATCCCACTGGCTGCACCAGGCATAGGCTCCTGGGCCGTGCTGCAGTGCCTGACCTCCACTCAGGTCATGCCACGTACCCTGGCATGTCCAGGACTCCAGCTTTGTCAGCCAGCTGGAGTGTGGCCCCTGTCAGCATTTCAGAGAAGCTGGACAAACAGCCCATGTGCCATCACTTCGTAAGCTAAGAGGCAATTTAACTCACTCAGGACAGGTTTGCCCTCAAACAGACCAGCCCAGCAGCTTGGGCTGTGTGCTTAGAAAGTCAGACATCCCACATTGATTGTTGGCATTTTGTTAATCTTTTGAAAGAGCTCTTAAAACCCAGTCCAATTAGCTCCAAAGTGGGGAACAACCTTGTCTGGATGTCCAGCACTAGGGGCAAACAGAAATTTTGCACTGTAAGCAAATCTCTGCGTTGGCTTTTGTTTTTCTTCAGAAACTTTTGGGGTTTTTTCAGAAACAAAAACTTTTGGTTTTTTTACCCTTTATTATCTCATGCAGGCTTCCCAAGTTTCCCTCTGGGTCCACCAAATGCAAGGTAAGTGGTTTCAGTTTCTTCTTTATAACTTCTGAGTACAAAACTTAAAGGCTGGCAACTTGGTTCATCAAGAGCCTCCACTAGTGCCCAGTGCTGAATTTTACTAACTTCATCCAGAGCCTTGCTGAGCTTAAAGTAAGGCCTGTGTAGAAAATATGTTTACCTTTGGACAAGTAATATGGCGAGCACTTTCAGACCTGCCCAGGTGCTCTATGTGCAGGAGACAACGCTGCGTTGTGTCCCCGCTAGGAGTGTGCCTGGCACGCTGGAGCCCAAAATAGAGGTACAGCAGCAGTACCAATGAGCAGCTGATCATGGGATTCTCCTAGATCACACCTGCAACTCTCAGTTCTGTTCCAAGCCAGGACTTTTCTGCACCTCTGTGCCTTCATGTGCCTTGGGGACCTGTGGGTGACACAGTGGGTGACGGACTGGAGGAGAAGTCATGGTGCTGGGATGCAAACCTCACAGAAGGATAAGCAAAGAGCCTAGCTGTGGATGAAAATCAAACGTCAAATGAATGAAAGCTGACTTTCCCTTGCAGCTTACAACTAACTGTGGAACTTATTTCTGCAAGGCTCTGTCCAAAGTGCAGGAAGGTTCAAAAAGTGTTTACAAGCCCGTGCAAGTAAAAAAATCATTAAAGGCTAATATTTAAAAATCATTAAATAGCATTAAGATGTTGATAAGGGAAAAGTTGTGATGATTGTTGTGTGAGGATGCGTAAATTGTGTGAGGATTTGTACATCCTTTTGCAGCCTACTTGGTCTACGTAGAAGAACTATGTTTTTATTGATAAGTTTAGTATTTTTGCAGGTAAGCCCAGCTCCTCTTTTCCTTGATTACAGTGGATCTTACATCTGAGTTTATAATGTATACCTAATGATGTATTACATTAATTTTGTTCATTATTCTGCAAAAAAAGAGTGTGGGTTTTACTATGCACTCGTTATCCAGCTGCATTCCTGTTCATTCCAGTGGCATTTTGGCTTTCAGATCAAACCTGGAAGTCCAGAAGCCTTGTAGCTCATACAGCAGTGCTTCTTTCCCCATATCAAGGCTGCTGTTCTAACATGTGTGTAGAAAACAAATTTCCAAATCATTTGTGTGTCTGAGCTCAATATTTGACTTCTGCAAATGACCCTAGAGTCATACACTTGACTTCAGGGTTTGCACATCTGTTTACACACAAGTTTGCAGCCTTGTGCAAACTGTTTGATTTGCTTTTTAATGGTAGAGTATCCCTTTCACCATCTCTCAGTTCATTCCCTCCCTTGTGGTGTACAGTCCTTACATCTGTCCCTCCACTGTGCCTACTCTCTCGCACTCTCCATCCCCCTGCAAGCCTCCACTCCTTCAGCCATCATGATCCACCTTCACCCATCATCTATCCCTCTGAGCAAAAAGGTGCTGCAAAACTCCTTTTAAGTAACAACCGCAAAACTATTTGAAAGGCTTTCTGGCTTTGTTCTTAGCTGGTCTCCCTTCTTTCTGAAGCTGCAGATACTCCCAGCCACAGCCTGCTTAGAAGGGAGGAAATACCATGAGGTCTCATCTCTGCAGAAGTAAATGGGGAATATCTCATTATTTAAAATATAGTCAGGATTTCAGCCTCATAAAAATAACACTACAATAACCTCAGAGCTGGAGACAAAAAGTATTTAGAGAGGTGATAGGAAAAGTCATCCTGCTTAAATTAGGCCAGATTTCAGTCAGTCCCCAGAGGTTCAGAGAGCTTGAATAAATGGTGGGTACTTTCTGGTGCTCTTGATGTGTGTTGGCAATAGGCTTTAACTCTGCACATCACTCATCTTGACAACTGCAGTCCAACAAAGTTACCTCACAATTCAGGTCACCCGATGGCATCCTAATGCATCACTTTCCCACTTGGAACATTAGTCATGACTTGATCCAGTGAAGGTTTTGAAAACAGTGTGACTGCCGACGTTGAGATATCTGTTCTCTCAGTAACAGAGAGCTCGTGTAAGCTAATGAACAAGGGGATATTGATCAGAAATCCATTGCTTGATTGACAGCTCTTGGCAATATGAAAAACTGCAGATGAAAGCTCGAGCAGTTTAAAAGATCACCCAGACCTCAAAGCTGATTTGAAGCTTTAAAAGTCAATCTCTGTCTATCAATTATGGGGGGATTTTTTGTACTACACAGAGGAAAGTTATTCTTTGAAAATTTGCATGCAGGATGTCTAATTTAATTTCATGTAATAGTCACATTGCAGTGACAAATGTCAGATCACTGCTTTTTTAAAGCATGTTAAGGTTTTCCAGCACTTACAAAGAATGAGCACTCTGATTTAGTAATATGTTTAAATCAACCAGTGTATCAGACTTTGTGCTTTAATTATGTGCTCAGATAAAAAAAAGTGTTGTTTTTACTTTACTAAACCTATGGCTTGTTATGAATAATTAAAGAAATGGGAGCACTTCTTAAATAAGAGATGTGGAAGCCAAATAGTTATTTAATGTCAGAGCAGTGATAAATAAGAAGACATCTTTTAGTTTGGTGTCATATACCCAAGTTAGGGTTTTCTGGTCTTTGTTTTTCATTGCTTTGTGCAGCTGGAGAGGACACAGAGTAGCTGGGAGATGGGAAGCATCACTCATGTGACCTATAGAAGCTCTGTACTAATGGTTTAAAAAACTAATGGTTTAAAAACTAATGGTTTAAAAAACAGAGTAGATGATTCTACAATGGCTTAGCAATTTGTGCTCATTTGAAGCACTTATTTTTCCTCTGTTGATTTAAGACAGTCCTCTCCAGCCTCTGTAAAGCATGCTGGCATGTTTGCAGTCTGCTTTTGGCAGCCATAACTCCCCTCTTTATCCTTCATAACTTCTAGCAGGTATATTTTTCCATAAAAAGGGCTACCCCATCCTTCAGAACACTTCTTTAAAGCATCCGTGGAATAAAAGTCAACATGCCCCACTAAGATTCTGAAAATAAACAGGAGAAACAAAATCAGACTCCTTCAGACACTTCCCTCAAACTCCAGTTGTTTGCAAAATCTCCTCTCCAACAAAGTGAACTTGCAGGCTGTATTTCAGGCAAAACTTCCTTTTTGTTTTTCTTTCTTAACTACATCACATTAAATTTAATTTTGTTCACTGTAGACAATGTCCTTATCTTCCAGCAAGATCCTTCTGTTCCTCAGCAAGGCATACACTTCTGCAACACTTGCACATAGTCAAGACTCAGCTCCTGTGGAAATAATGAGCTGAGGAAAAGGAGTCTTGACTTGACATAGCAATAAATGAGGTGAAACTTTCCCCCTTTTTTTTTTTTTTGGTGAGAAATGAGAGTTGGCATGTAGGAAAAAAAAAAAGAAGAAAAAAGACAGTTCTATTTTAATATGAAATATAAAACACCCATTGTACAAACGTGGAATTTCTTTCTTTTTTTCAGAAGCAAAGAAAGAATAAAGATAAAGGCTGCAAGTGAATGAATGAGGAGAGAAAACTAAGATAATGCAGTTGATAATCAGTTCAAGGCAGAGCATTATCCATGGGGCCATCGGTCCAGCCCTAGGGAAGAGCTTTTTAAAATGTCTCTGTACGTAGCTTAGCTTTGCTCATTACCATACCTTGTCTTTGAAACACTGGAGTGGCTTCCATCGACAACAGTTGTACCTGTGCAAGGAGCTGCCAGCCCACTTTAATCAAACGATCCCCCCAGCGCAGCTGGCAAAGCTGCAGGTCCCAGCAGGCTCCCGTGAGGACACTGGCTTCTGGTGGCTCTGGGCTGGTGGGCGAGGATGGGCTCCTCAGCACATGTCTGCTGCACCAGGGCCTCGCTCCTTGAAGGGTGTTTTGTGGGCAAGGAGTCACACAGACGTGCAGGTGCCTCAGGCTCTCCGTGCCCCCCGGCTGCCCTTGGAATGGGACTCTCTGTCCTCACACGCAGCAGGCACCTGTGTGCAGGGGAGGGTCTTGCCTCATGCTACAGCAACGATGTGCTGGTGATCAAAGCATCTGGACAAAGAAAACCCCTTCTTCTTGTAGAAATCTGAATCTCCTTCCCTCACTGCACTGGTACCAGCCTCAGCATCTTCTCTGGCTGTGCTGCCACATGAGGGGCTCCTTAAACCTGTGCCTGCAGAGCCCAGGCCTGCATCCCATCTGGGTCATCCCAGATGCCACCACAGGAGACAGCTGAGCAGCCAGGGACCCAGTGCCCTTACGGAGGGTCAAGGAGGGCAGCACTGGGGCCAGTGGTGTTCAGGGTGCCCATGCTGGGCTCTAGGTGAGCTCTGCCTGTGCCAAAGAAGAGCTGAATGGCACTTTTGGTTCTCAAGATGATGTAGTCTCTAGACCCACCAACATCCCAAATGAGCTGAAAGAGATAAGGACTGTCCATCTCAGGGAATAACTTCTTTTATACCTTGTCTCCTTCCAACAGTTTTGATTCCTCTGTTCTTTCACCCTCTTCTGACCCCTCCCTGCAGACAAGGATGATGACTTTGAATACTATGACTCCACGGAACAGGAGCAGGACCCCAGCCTCCAGCACCATTCCTGGGAGCAAGTGAGCTTTATTGAGACATCTATAGGTGACTTCTATACCATGCCAGGTACCTCTGAGGGGTGGGCAGGGAGGCAAGGAAGGGGTAAAATCCCAACCCTGAACTTGCAGTGTGAGTGTGGCAGGTCTTGGCTGCCAGCCTGCTCTCGAAATGCCTGCATCAAAGGGATGAGTTAGGAGGATCATTTGCAGTGTTCTTCTTTGTATTTCTCTTGTAAGGAGGCTGTGTTTTATCTCCAGGTTTCACAGGATGGATTGTGATCATGCAGAACATTTCTGATTGCTACTACAAAAAAGCACAGGCTTATTTGTCTATAGACACTGTAAGATGTAATTGCTGTTTTCATGGGATATATGTTCTGTATTTATGCTGGGAACCAAATGTAGAGCAGGTTTGTGTTGTTTTGTTTTTTTTTCTTTTATCAGTTGCAGGGTTTTTTTCTTTTCTTTTTCTGTTTTGCCAAACTTCAGGAGAACAGGAAAGGATCCTCAAGATTGCTCAGGAAACACAAAAGGCAAGACAGGGAAGTTACCTGTAACATTCCCTGAGTTATCCCCCCGTACAAAGAAAGCAGAGCTTATATTTGACTGTCCCCAGTATCAATTACTCCTGGCAACCTGGACTGCAGTGGGGAGGTTGAACATGGTGTAAGGAGCAGTGTGCAAGTGACTCTCAGCAGGCAGCTGCTCCCTTGAAGCAATAGCCACCCAGGGATACTGTAGAGTCTAACAGTGATGGATGGCTTTTCCACGGGAAATTCAGCACCATGTTCCAAACAGAGCAATGCCGAATACAGATACCTCCAGACTAAGCGCATGAAAGCAGACAGCCAGAGGCTATGCCAAAGAGGTAAATGTATCCCTGAGCAAAGAAAGGGGCTTGCCCCATTACAGCTCCATAATAGACATGGCAAAGGCAGCACAGGAGCTGCAGACCCAAAGCCATGAGCTGTTACAGCTTGCAATAAACTCTGCAGCAATTCACACCACTCCTGTGGCTGCTGAACTGATGCATAAGCACAGCACATGTTATACCGGATGCTGTGCCCAGGAAGGCAGCCTTCTGCAGTCAGAAAATGTGAGAAGAAAAAGCAGGTGATGAAGGTTGAGAAGCTGAAAGATCTTCATCCTTGCCTCTGCAGACCCATGCCTCTCTGACCCCTGTAAGAACGGTGGTAGGTGTGCATCCAGTGGAAGGGACTTCAGCTGTGCCTGTCCCAAACCATATGGTGGAACCACATGTGAAAAAGGTAATGGCTCTTTGGCTAACCTACACTCTTTATTTTGGCAGTTAATGTTGCTGTTACAGCTTTATAAACCCACTGTTTGCTGGGCTGAGGGTTCTGACAGCCCACAGCAGTCATGTTCATAGATCTTATGCTTAGTGCCTTATCCAGACCAAAGTCTGTCTGAATAGCATCCAGTAAAATAGACTTCAGGAGTGCAGAGACTACTTGTCTATCCCCTGCCAGGCAGGCAGTGGGGAGCTGCTCATTGGTACCACAGATATTTTGCCATAAATACCATGAACATGAAGAGAAATCGCAAGTCCACACCTGTTAAATGAAAGCTTCCTTGGGGCATCAGGAGAAAGCATCTTCCCATGATCCCTGCAAGGGCACAGCTCCTGTGTACACACAAATGCTGATGAAGTACCTTGTGTCTCTGTTTTCCACAGTGGAGGACATGTGCCTGGACATGAACTGCCGCATTGGTGACTGCCTGGTTCTATTAAGCCCTCCTTATTTTCGGTGCAGCTGTAAGCCTCCGTACAAGGGATCATTCTGCCAACGCTGTGAGCACTCAACAGGACAGTGAGAGAACTGTGTTAGGGACAGCACCGTGGCCAGTCTGCAGTGGGAAATCCCTTGCAGCCCACTGCAGAGGGTGGTGCTGCCCTAGTCATGCAACCTGAGTCTGCTGCAGCTCCCACCTGTGGGGCTGGCCAGTGATGAGTTATGCTTGGTTTGTAAGTGGTGGTTCAGTCACTGGTAGAACACCCAGTGCTGGGCATTTTGCAAGACTTCATAAGAACTCAAAGTCAACAGGCTAAATGGGAACTCTCTCCAGTTTCCATTGGGCATGCGAATGGCTGCATAGTGTTCAGCAGATTAACAAGGCTGTTCTGTGTTTTCCACATTGACAGCATCTAAGCAGTGCAGTCCCAACCCTTGCAAAAATGGAGGTACCTGCATACGGAACAGAAAGAGATCAAAATTCACCTGTGAGTGCCCTGAACTTTTCAGAGGGAGATTCTGCAAGATCGGTATGTCACGGCTCCGGGGAAGGGGGCAGGGGAGAAGCCTCCAGACAGCCAGGGCTGGCTTCACCCTGCAGCCAGACTGACTGATGCTGTCACTGCTCCAAGTGCCCGGCTACACCTGGGCACTGACGTCCTTGGGGAGAGGGTAGGAGGAAGAGGCTGACTTGGCAAAGGGGCTTGAAACAGTTCCTGTACTGGTGTTTTCCAGATGTGCTTTGGCAAGGTACATAATGAGTGAGCGTGCATTTCCCAGAGGTTGCACATGTCACATGGAGAAGAAATATCAGGTTTTCCTTAAACACTTGAAATCTGATGTAGTGAAGATTAGTGCCTGTGATTCCTCAGGCTGAGGGAACTGCTTCTGATGGGTGGCCAAGGGTATGGGATTACCCCAGCTTGCTGCACAGAGAGCCTTCTGCCTCTGCAACATCACTGTGGGCACCACACCCCACACAGGTTTCCAAAGAAAAGGATCTTTTTCTTTCTCTTTTAAAAGTTGATTGCACCTCAAACTCCATCAAACCCCATGTACCACTAAATACTCCACGTTGCAGGTGGTTCTTCTGGACAAAGAAGGCAATGAAGAGAGACCACTTTGGGCAAGGAACAACACAAAAGTCATTTTCATATGAGTATTGTCTTCCTACAGGACCAGATGATTGTTATGAAGAGGACTCCTCTAACTACAGGGGAAGAGTGAATCAAGCAGTAGATGGCAGGACCTGCCTGAACTGGAATTCCCATCATCTCTTGGACTTCCCTTTTAATGCCTTTATGGAGAATGCTGACTTTTATGGCATTGGTGATCATAATTTCTGCAGGTAATATTTTGAAGAAGTAGCTGTAGAGGTCTGTATCAAAGAGAGCACTGAGGGCAAACTGCTCATGAGTTTGACAAACTGATAATATTAGGATCTCACGTCTTTCTAGACACTGCCTGTCTATAAACCACCAGAATGTTAGAATGTCTTCTCTAACTATACGGATGTGCAGCTTCCAGAAGCAGTCCTTTTTTCTTTGAACCAGTCCCACAGTTTTCTTATGGTTAAGACAGGTATGGGGATAGTAATATGGAAGAAGCCCCCCCTTTATCTCAAGCATCTTTGTCAAATCTTATGAAAGAGTATCTTTGGAAGTCCAGATCCTATGGGAGCATGAGGCTGCTCCCCTAAGCATCCTCAGCTCCTTCACTGGTTTCATGGAGATTTCCCCACTCCTGCTGGCTGATTCTCTCACCTGTTCCCTTCAGGAATCCTGATGAAGATGAAAAACCCTGGTGCTATGTCAGAAAAAATAAGGAAGTAGATTGGGAATTCTGTGATGTTTCACCCTGTTCAGGTAAAGAATTAAGAGTGAGCCACTCGGCAGTGTGTAGGTGGTCCAGAGCAGTGGGCACTGCTACTTAACTCCCCCAGTCTAATATTATCTCTGCATTATACATCTGCTGTCACTTCCAACACAGATGTAGAGCCAACAGACCCACCTGAATCAAATGAAATATTTGAAACATGTGGACAACCAGAAGTTCGTGGAACACTCAAGAGGATCTATGGTGGATCCAAGGCTACAGCTGGCAAACATCCCTGGATGGCATCTGTGCAGAAAAAGACTCCAGATGGGAGTGAACATTTCTGTGGTGGAGTGCTAATTAAATCATGCTGGGTTCTTACTGCTGGGCACTGCTTTGAGTAGGTGTATGCCCTGCAATTGGGGTAGATAAGTGCATAAAAATTAGAATGGTTAGTAAAGACAACGTAGTATCCAAATCACTTGCAATCAAAATGATTACTGGCAATCAAATTGAAAGGAAAACGTGTATGTGAAAGAAGTGGACACATACATAAAAATGCCATTTTCAAATGGTTCTTGTTGAATAAGAAATCTATGCCCCACTCCCCTAAAATGAGCTAAAATAGTCACGTGAGAGGAGAAAAGGAGGAAAGTAACAAGATTTTGCAATGTATAAAGGAAGAACTCCATGAAAAATTCAGAGGATATTGGGATACTAAAAGTGATATCACATATTACATCAGAATTAAGTTCTTCAAAACAGTCAAAACATGCATTTTGCTTTCAATTGTTACTGTGTCAGCTAGCTCTAAATATTTCCTTCAATATTTGCATTGAATTATTTGGAAGCCACCTAGGAAACAGATAAATTACATTCTGGAGATCATTCCAACACAGATAATTTTAAATACGCCCAGACAACATCAAGCAATTGTACTCCCGTGGCTCCAACGCACCACTACTCTGCCCTAAAATGCAAAGAAAAGCATGTATGTGCAGCTTTAAATCTCTTTATTTCACGATTGCAACAATTTAGAGCACATGTATTTTCCAACACCACTGCTTTCCTAACTAAGCCTTCCTATAATGATCTTAGGAAATCTTCTGGCCATACTTGACAAAAGGAAGCAATATCTTGACTTCCTGGTACTGAAAGTGCAGGTTTTCACCACAACTGATAGACAATGTCTGTATGTAATTTACTTTTTTTCTTTTTTTCTTTTTTTTTTTTTTCAGAAACGGGAAAGGAAATATCCAAGTAGCCCTTGGAAAGCAAAACCTCAAGAAGAAAGAGCATCATGAGCAAAGATTTGATGTGGAGAAAATCATTGTACATGATGAATACAGCGATAGAGGTGGCATCCCATACAATGATATTGGTAAATCCCTTTCACTGAATACTCACGTGTCTCACCTCCAACCTCAGTTGTTTGAAGCTGTTTGTCTCCAACTAAAATTCTCATTGAGACTATTCTCTGGAAATAATTAGGATGAAATGTGATCTAGGCCCATTTGAATCTTTGAGATGTAAATTGTAACAGGCAGGCAGAAGTGACTGTAGGAGGAGCAGAACAACTGGGACAGGTCCAACATGGAGTGCAAATGGCACGTGGGGTACACACAGCTTTGCACGGGGGTGTGTCACGGGCTGGTAACAGTGGTTAGGTGTTAAATGTCACCCCAAATACTTTTTGCTGTTGTTTATCTCCCCTCCAGCACTACTTAAATTGAAGCCAGTTGATGGTTACTGTGCAGTGGAAACAAAATATGTGAAAACAGCCTGTCTCCCTAACTTCTTCTTTCCCACTGGGACTGACTGCTTCATTTCTGGATGGGGCGAGACAGAGACAGGTATTTGTGGGCTACCTGGATTTTGGTGGGCACTTTGGTGCCAAGGTGGGCTGGTACTTTCAGTAGCAATTGCCAGAACCAAGTGTGAACTTAGGCCCTAGTGAAACCATGTCATGGAATTCAAAAGCTAAAACAAGCCACAGAAATTACTCGTTAGCAGAAATCTCTGCTGAACCAACAAATCTTTCAGAGGCCTGAAAAAATTCCTGACGCATCTTTTTGCTTGCCAAATGACTCACTATGTCATGGTTTCATCTGAAGCCAGCAACAGAAGCAAGAAGGTATCAAGAGAGGCTATTGTATAGCTTCTGTGTTTCAAGATTGGACCAAGAAATACTTTCACATGGTTTTCCAGCCCATTGTGTCAGATAAAGCTTTTCAGAAGCAGCATCTGGATCTTCAGATGTACTGAAAAATTAAAAAAACACGAAAAAATCCAGAGCTTTTCAAGTTCAACCAGCTCTATCCAAAACCTTTCTTGCCTGCAGTAAATCCTAAAGGGAGAAATTACTGTTCTTAAAACAAAAGATAATGGCAATTTTCTAAAAAATGCATTTTCTCATGTTCTGGTTGATGTGCTACTGTAAAGCAGCAGAAGGAAAACGTGTCACTGAGGCTGCAGTAGGTGTTCTAGTGCTTTGTGACTGATGCAGTCTGATATAATACATAGGACCAAATTCTCCCTTCTGCTGTAACTCTCATTGAAGTCCACAAGAGACAAGTGTGTTCATTTGATCAGAATGCACCAACAGAATTTAATGGATATTTTTTAGAAGTTCCAAATAAAAAGTCTTTCTTAAAAAGGGTACAGGGAAATTTATTTCTTTTCTCCCAACAAAAAGTATCAAGTACCCTGTACGTGTTCAGACTAGATGGCTCCTTCTTTGAGCATAGCTATTATTAGCATTTCAGGAAATCACTGCAGAAATGGAATATTTCCTGAAACTCAAGCAGAACCAAACTTATAAACTACCTTTAATTATCTACAGATGTAGTGCTTTGAAACTCTGGCTACTGCCTTTAGATGTCAAGTTATGTCTTTAGATTCACTGTAATTAATCATTGCCCTTAAATATTGTATGATTTTCAGTTTTCATCTGTTTCATTAGCTTGCATGTTAAAACATCTAATGACACCAGTCTGAGAAGTGCTGAGCAGCTCAAAGTCCCATGGGGACCTGTGGGAGCTGCAGACAACCAGTACCTTGGAAAAGCAGGATTGCACGGGTAGAGCTGATTGGAGCTAAATTCTGAATACATGACTTTGCTTTTATTCAGGCAACAACTCGGTGTCCTGAGGGAAGCTTCCAGACCCCAACTCTAACCCTTATCATTCCTGACAGACAGTTCTTTTCTTCCCAGGCTAACACATGCATCCCCCCTGCTCTTCCCCACCCCATCTATACGGCAAGCAACCTCCTATTTTGAATAAAGACAACACATGCAGTATTGGAAGGAAAGTGACTACTTTTTTGGTGCACATCCCATAGGTGAATCATCTGATCAGCTGTTAGATGCCAGGGTCAAGCTAATTTCACAGAGGAAATGCAATGAACGTGAACTACATAATAACTCACTGGATGAGAGCATGTTTTGTGCAGGAAAACTTCGAAAACCCGGAATTGACTCTTGTCAGGTTTGTTGCCTTTTCTGTATTAGAACACTAATTTTCTGTGTGAAGAGTCAGGTTGTGCAGAGTAATAGCTTTGGCAGGGTGCTGCATGTGTGTCTGTTTCTCACATCAATGTACATCACCAGCCTTTCTTCAGTACACTTTCAGATGTACATCCCCAGAGCTGATATTGTCACTGTCACCTACAGGCAGATCTATGGAAGCTAGATACCAGCCTGGAAAGTTTGGCTTCTGAGACACTTTGTCATAATAATCTGAAAACTCACCTTTTTTTCCTCAAGTTCATTATGGGTTCTGCCATAAGCACCAATTTTAATCTGATTTTCACTATCAGAGCTAAGACTTGCAGGGAGTCAGTATTGATGTTTCTTCTCATTACAGCTGGCACAAATGGGAAGCAAGTTCATACTTATACCATTGAAAGGTAGGGAAGAGCTTGAACAACACTTCCTAAGGTGCAAACTACCACTGTAAAGCATATATTGCAATAGAAATCACAAATAAACCAAAAATTAGACCAACCAACCAACTCAGAATAAGTCTATTTGAGGGATATGAGACAGATTACGGTTTCATTTGTGCCAGAGATCACATCTTTATCGTTCTGAGTTCAGGCTCTGAATGCCTGGTACTTTCATGCCTGGGAAATTTCATGTGACCTTGTCAGATACACGTCACAGACTGGAACAAACAAAAACTTACATCCAAAAAGTCTGGTATCATTTGACCTAGTTCCAGAACTGCAAGTCTACTCAGGGACTAAGCAGCATCTGATGATAAATCCACTAGGTAAATAACATCATTGCAGCTTCAAAATTTTATGATGAGAGAGAAGCATTCTGATATTGCTTCATGTTTTGAACATGTGCTTTCCTTCATCAGGGGGACTCTGGAGGCCCATTGACTTGTGTGGAAAACAGCTCCCACTACGTATATGGCCTTGTGAGCTGGGGTGATGGCTGTGGGTTAAAAAACAAGCCAGGAGTTTATACCCAGGTGACAACATTTCTCAGTTGGATTAAATCTACAATTCAGGCTGAGTCGAGGTTACGTCATTAGGAGAGAATGACAAACGGTAAGCTTGAGGTATTTACTATTTTTATCAATTCCCCAAATACCTCCTCTTTGACCAAAGATATTTCTGATATTTTCTCATGGCCTACACAAGGCATCCTTCACCACCTCTGTTGTGGGCTTTGAAATAAGCCCACATTTTGTAACAAAAGAGATCAGAAAGTAAAGCTGCTCCAGTTCTTCCTCAAATAAATCAGAGCCCCTAATATCAAACTTTCTAATTCTGCTTTTCAAGCCATGAAAATTCTGCAGGCTCAGCTGCTGCCAGCCATTCTCTCTTTCCCTTATGCTCCAGTTGAAGATGTGTTTTTTCTACACTCATTGGACTCTTACACTCCAAAGCTATTCGTGTGTGCTCTTAAAATCAGTGCAATTTTTCACTAACATAAAAATCACCATGTTCATGAATGCAGCCACTGGACTTATCTGAGGAGAGAGGATCAGAGAGAATTATTTTTAAAAGTACTTTGGTATGCAAATAACCACAAATTCCACCAGTGATGCCTTCCAGATTGAAAAAAACCTCCCAATTTTCAATTATCCACTTTATTCCAGATTAAAGGATAATTACTTACTAGGCTTCAGATCTACAATGGTATATGTGCTTAACAATATTGGTGAGACCTAGTGAGAACTAAATGACATTAGAAAAATCTGGTTCAAAAGCTATTGGATAATATTGAGGTTTTCATAAGTTTTGCATGTCAAAAGTGTGTAATTTGTGCCCAATGATTCTGCACAGATGTATGAAAAACAAGGGATTGGTATTAAATCAGTATGTAAAGAATATGCATGTTTGTGAAGAGCCAATTCCTTAAAATAGTAATGTCCATCTCATTTGAATTCCAGATTTTACAACCTTCTCTAAGCAGCTGCCTATCTATCAATAGCTACCCCTATGGTGATAATTTCTAAAATAGTAACTTTGATTTTTTTGCTTTGGAAGGTTTGAAAAAGACTGAAGAACTAATTGTGATCTTAATACATCCTGCTAATCTAGAGCAAATTCCCTGATGTCTGCTAGAAGACCTGACCTTGGCTAGTCAGTGATAACTCTTCTCCCACTGGACTTTGTCTCGTTCATATTTTTGTATTCTCTTAGGTCAATGGTGCCAATAATCCAGGAACATAAAATTCTCCAAAAATTATAAGTATGGAATAAGATTCACACAATTTATTCATTACAAATTATTTTGTATTCTACCATCCATGGTACAAAGCTGAGCCTGCCAGTCACCTAGTACTAATTTCATTTACAGCTTCAAATAAATAGCAGAATCTGTAATACATACAGTGATAAATCATAAAGTATCCACACAAAATAAAATTATCACTTATAAATTGCAGCATTTGGGTTGCATTTTAAAACAAAAAGTTTTTAAATGCCATCTATTGTGTTTTCCAGAAAACTGGAAAACCTACAGGATTTTCAGGATAAGATGAAAATCTATTTATGTTATGTCATGTTTCCATTTACTTCTGATACAGCTGCATCTGCCTTCTCTTGAATTGCAGAATTTCTGAAGCATCAGGGTTGACTGCGACTTGCTGAGATCTTTCTGTCTCCAACTGGTCCTGTAAAATCATATCCAAATAGATTGTGAAACCAGCCAGTGGACAGAAGAGGTCTTTAACTATAATTCTATAAAAATATTTGCATATTAAAAATTGCCACAACTGGCAAATGAACAAAATCTAAATCACTGCTCTGCACTGAGCGAATTTCTACGGTGGAGAAGTGCAAAAAGTGGATCTGTTCATGTAAGTTAGATACCACACATACCAAAGGACTAAATGTGCTCCTGATTTCTAATTTGAGCCTAAATAAAAAGCAAACCAGAAAACACCTGAGTTCCACATGGACTGCACACCTGTAGGTTTCCCTTGGACCATCAAATCATTATCATACCCAGAACTTAAGAAGATACTGCCTGTAGTTCCCTCTGCTTGCATTACTCAACCATAGTTTTCATTTATTTCTTGAGTAACTTTTCAGATGGAAATGCAAATCATGGATACCCACTGTTTCTCTTGAGCACGATTATTGTTTGACTTGTTTCCAAAGTTAAAAATTAAATGAAACAAGTATTTGAAATGCAGTGCTTCTCTTTTATTGTAACTTAATGCTTTCTAACTCCAAGGGCTACAAGGTCCCCCTGTATGGACTTCTGCTCTCTAGTGCTGGGGCACTGCAGAATGGGAGTCATCCCTGTGGAGGTAGGGAGAAAGAAGCCTGGAAGATCCCAGTCTGTAATTTCTTTAATCTTGAGCCGGACAGAGGTGGAGGAGGGGAGCATTCCCTCTTTGCAAAAAGCCTCCCACAGCACACATTATGCTGTTAGGAATCTACACTCAGCCTGTCAATATGGTTGTCAGTGGAGATTACATGGCATCACATAATTATATTGCAACACATGGTGTCCTGCTTAAATTAGAAAAAGAGAAGGGGACTTGCACAGGGAGTTCCTTCCACCTCTACTTCTGCTTTCCACAGAGGTACCAGGACACTCGGAGCTCTGACAACATCCACAAGTCAAGGGAAACACCTCCCATCACATAAGTAAATCCCATTCCATGGCATTTCCTAGTCCCTACAGTAATTTCTCAGCCATGACACTGCTGAATTCCCTTGAGAGGTTCCTTCGAATTAATATGTACACTAAGCCACAAAGCATCATGAGGGAAGTGTACATATCCTGTTCAAACAACAGAGAGAACTGTAGACTCTGGGGAGCACTCAAAAGTATTAAACAGGATATAAAGAACAGAGCTCTTGGGATTTGTGGGGTTTACTCTACTTACAACTCCAGGTCTGTACCGAGCAGCAGCACCCTGCAATCCCATCTCCCGAAGGTAGGCCAGCTCAGCAGCTCTTCTTGCCATTTCCACCTTGTGAGAACCTGGGGGAGTCCAACCAATGCCTCTGAGCCAGTTCAAGTCAGACTTGTATTTCACCTGAGAGAATGAAACATACCCCAGTGTGTATTCATTTTGTTGGGCTCTAATCAAATCACATGCCCTAGGTATTCAAGAGAGAGCATATAAAGAACAACAGAGTTGGTAATAAACCGATTATTCATTTTTAGCAAGTAGACTGTAGTTTTTTCAAGAGCTTGATGTTGTTGATAGGTAAGGTCTGCAAAGCATATTGCCACAGACAGTCCCTAGCACATGGAAGGACCATGTCACTCAGCTGTACTTACATCACTCTGCAGCTTGTAGGCCTGCTTTGCATGTTTCACATTTAGCTGCTCAGGATCACAAGTGTAGTGGTGCAAAGGCTGCCTGTAATTAAGGTTGCTTGCAAGCTGCTGGCTTCTTTTGGCATGGAGGAATCCTGGCTGGTTGAGGTGACTCTGGAACTGTCCTCTGTTTTGGGCATAATCACTCCTGTACTGGATGTCACTCTGGAGTTTCCCCACTCTGAGGACATGTCTGATTTTGGGATCATCATTTGCACTGAGGAATCCAATTTGCTGGCCTCTGTCTCTCAGGAAGGCTTCTCTGTATTTGTACTGCAGGAAGTGCAGAGGAAAATCTTGTTTTCACATTCAGATTACCTTCAAATTCCATTACTGTCCCCTAGCTATCAATCATGCTTCCTGCAGTGCACAAAGACCAGGGGTTTGATATCAAACTATAACTCCTAATCTTACAAGATGCTTTAGAAGAATGACCTTTTTTGCTCATTTTTAAAACAGTGGAAAGACTTGGGGGGGCAAAATGCTCAAAAGTAATCATTGTTGCACTCTTGGGCACACCCAATACACAGCTCAAGCAATGAAGCTCCTTCATCTTTAGCTTTCTTGCCTACTGTGATCTATTCAAAGATGACCCACTTTATTCTAGACCACGCCTTAACTATTCATAGCCTAGTAGCTGTATTATTTGACTACATCATAATATGGCTCCTTCCCAAGAAAAAGTCTTAGGACATGAAAGAGGGCAGCCTGGTATTGGACATTATTAACGGTAGCCTTTAGTTGGAAATCTTTACACTTAACCCTAACCAGCAAACAGTTTCACTGGATCACCAATTTTCCACACCAGAGCAAAGTTCACTTATGTCAGAATTCACTTATTTTTATAGGATGGGATGGCATAGGAAGAGGGTTGGGAAGTGTTTGAAGCAGAACAATTCTTACATCACTGGCAATCTCTCTCGAAGCCTTTGCTGTCTGGAATGGGATGGCATCAATTCTAAAATCATAGCCAGATGCCCTTGTCTGTTCCCAAGATGTTTTATACAATTTCTGTGTTGAAAAGAAAAGAACAAAACAGTCATTTCCCCCTGCAGTTTCTTAAACACAGTCCCATAACTGCAATAATAAATGTTTTATCCTACTGGGCTTATTTGTATCAAGAGTCATCAGTGCCATCTCCAAGGTTTTGATCCAGTTCTATAGTACTTCAACTTCTTTTCTATTCACGATAATGATAAAATGCCTCATCTGAAAAGTGCCACCAGGGTTTCCTTTTGTACTTGAATGTGGTTGGTTTTGATGTGATTTAATTTCTATTAGAAACTGTGATGCATCAGTCACATCAATATTGCATTGATATTGCCCTTATTCTCTCTTTTGATGCATCCACTCACAGTGTCTTGGGTTTCCTGGCATCATAATTTCAATACCAGTTATTTCAAGCTTTTCAAATGATCCCTGTCTCTATCCCCAGCCACATGTGGCTTCATTAACTCATACAGAATAACAGCCAGTTCTAACATATTTAATGTGACTTTGAGGATGTGTAGCACATTTACATCCTGAAGAGAAATTGCTCTAGATTTGGTTCCTCTTCCATTAGTAGCTTTCTTAAAATAGCTTCAGGTCTGCAGGTCCTGCTACACGGTCATGGTATCTTAGCTGACACTTTCGTCTGTCCCTTTGTGCTTTTATTCCTTTGCTTTCTGTAAATCTTTGATTCATCCTTTCTGGATTTTGTGACCATATGAAAACAAGCACAAAATCCACTCCACATTTAAAAAGATAACCTTCTGTTTCACTGGTGAAAGGAGTGCTAGGTGGTGTTAAATTTGAAGATACATTGAGATGCTAGAAATCCTGCAAGACAGCCTGGATAGAAGCAACGCAAGCATCACTGTACACCCCACTAACAGCCTGACCTTTCCTTTGTGTGCAGTCTTTGCACACAATATTTGCCTTTTTACCCTCTCCTATATCACTTCAAAAACTGTGAGTCCTACTTGTTTCTTTCACCTATATAGCATTTATCATCAAACAAACTTCTTACAAACTAAGGTCATTCTGACCCTACAGGTAAAGACAACAGCTATTTAATCAGGGAACAGAACATCAGGAATAGACTGAGTTCCTCTGTATGAGATAATGGAAACAAATTCTCTTTACACCAACTCCACTCACAGATTCAGCTACATCCATACTGATGACAACTGTGACTGTGTTCAACACAGTAATGCAGCTTCAGAAAAGCAGATTATATAGTCAAAGAAAGAAGATTCTCCCTCCTTCCTCACCCAAACATAAGCAAAAATCTTTTAATTTGTAATTAACCATAACTATACTGAAGGTCTGAAATCCTTAATAATAGCTTACTGCCCTGGAAAGTTAAATGAATTCTCAAAAGAAAAATGAACAGACTTTTCCTGATTCCTCCAGCCCAAAACTACAAACAGATTGGCTGTTCACAGCCTCTGGCTTTCTTTAGATTTGGTCAGGCTCAGAGAACCTGGCTTCTACATACATGAAGGTTTTTATTCCCGAGCAAGCTTACCAAGTGACCTCCTCAAAGGAAAAGGTTTACTTACATCACTGATTTGAAGTGCATTCTGTCGGGCTCGGATAAAATCCGGATGATCAGGAGGCAGAGTGTACCTGTGCCTGTCTTCAGAGCCTCTAGCCTTGTACAGTCTCTGTGGGGCCAAAATCATTGAATGAAACAGATACTGGAAGCAATGTCAAGATCACTTCTTTTATGCATTACAGTACAACAAAAGTTAAGATCACTTTTACATTAAAATGAAACCTACATCACTGCACTGGAGGTAGCTGTTTTTGGCATGAATCAAATTTGGAGAGTCAACCACAGCAGTGAACTTCAAACTTTCTGGCTTCTGACGGTACTTTATCTGAGAGGTGGAGGAGGAAACAAACACAAACAAAGGAAAAAAACACGAGATGCTTCTGTTAATGATATATGACAATTCTGAGTGTGTGATAACTGGAGTAAAACATAAAAGACACTTTCTTGAAGCTACTGTTCTGCTTAAGTCTCAGTTGCTCTTTCAGCTAGGGACTGGGGATGCCTCTGTATCATTCCTGTGGTGCCCAGGCACCAAACTTCTTTTTGTGTGTATGTGCAAGAAGGACTTCCCACTGAAAATTCACACGTAAAAAGCTTTTGAACGCTACACTTTTGACAGCGCATAATTTTTCTCCATTAATACATGATACTGAGCAGGCAAATGCCCTTTCAGTGTGGTTGTCAGTGCTGTAACTTTCTATATAACTTCCATAACCACCTGCTTAGAATTTCATAATGGAATTTACTGCATTTATTTATTGCTACATGTTTTGCTTATACTCTTGTGTTTCATTTGGAATGGAAAATATTCAGCAGGTGTCACACAGTGGACTTGCGTCTCCCTTACTGCTTCTTGGTAACTTACACCTTGTATAAACAGGCTCCCACATCAAAAGGAAATGATAAGCTACATTCGTAAGTGTCATGTAACGAGGAGTCTTGATGGTAAACAATTCCTACAGACTTGCTATCCCATGAAAGATTTATCAGTTACCTCGCTGATGAGCTCTCCAGCCTTCTTTACACTTTCTATCTGAGGAGATCTCAGAGCCATCCAACCAACTCCTTTCATGAAGTTCAGGTCTGATTTATAGCGAAGCTGTAAAAAATGAAAATTGCTAACTATCAGTTTTGTATCCACAGCTATTAAGGTTTTTTAAAAAACTCCCTGATTCATATTCACATTTTGAGGTTTTTCATTTGCCATGCACATATCAGATCGTAAAGCCAAACTGTTTGCATTTGTTCATTCCACCAGGAATTAAATAATGTATCATATGCAAGTTACAAGAGAAGGTCCCACGAGTGAATTAGT